CAACTCCCAGTCAGTTCAGTTAAAAGCACCAGACTGTTCCCCGCCAACTGACACAGTCTCGTGAATTTAAAAGTAATTTCTAAAACCAAACCTTAAGCCCTAATTACATATAACATTTAAACATTTCATTTCAACTTAAAATTCGTTGCCAGGACTTTTTCCATCGTGTTTTTTTTTAAATCACGACGTTTCGGAGGCTGGTTCTGTCTCCGTCTTCAGATGAGAGATATCTACTCTGTTGGGTCCCTTAGATAGAGCTAGTCTCTGTCACTGGACACTATAAGTCGTGCAATTATTTCAACTTATCCACCCAATTACGGATTCTGTTAGTAGATAAAATAAAAATTATGATTTAAAAAAAAACAGACGATGGAAAAAGTCCTGACAACGAATTTTAAGTGTAAAATACCGTCGTCAAAACCCCTTAGAATTGAACTATTTCATTTCACTCTCTACCAATCACAGGAGTTACTAATTACCAAGAGACTACTGCACAAATCCAAATAAGATTCTGAAGTATCAGATCTTAACGCAAGGTTTACATCCGGATACATGCACAAATCACGCAACTTGTAAAAATCCACGAGGAGTCTGTCTTGCGTTTTCGTTTATATACACGTGGATCTGATCTCGGAAAACCCGGTTAAATGTTAAAACTGCTCATGCATCAGTTTCGCCCGCGACATGTCAATTCAATGGTATAATAACCACAACAAAGTGTTTAGAAATGTCAACGTGAAATGTATCTCAAAATTTCATGGGCTGACGCCTCGCAATTTATCAGCGAACATTCATCTCATGCAAGTTCAGATACATATTGGCCAATCCAGATGTACAGGAAACAAAACTTTTCTTCGTCTATTTCACTCACTAGCAGTTGCTTGCTGTGTTCTTAAAAGTAAAGACATTTAAATCAGAACGTAACGGAGTGTAGACTGAATGGGACGACTTCAGTCCTTGTCGGGAAAATTTCTCTTTAAACGAAACACCAACTGGATATGAGGATCTCAAGGCGGTAAATGTTACTATCGCGTTTTTCCTCAACACGCTGATAACCCAAATGCAAAACTACACGGCCTAACAACCCAATGCTTGACAAATAGTCCACAGTGCCGCTACCCCTAGCAGGTACGACTCCCAGATGACCCACACATCCATATATAGGCGAGGTCTAAGAACACGCGAAAGATTCAAAAGAACACATCTCTACCGCGTCCTCCACCTCATAGATGTATCGCAAATCGTTCCCTTTAGTTGTGTAAAAAAGGTACATGTCTAGGTCTTTCAGAACCCTGACACGAGTTAGACCAATTGGATCCCGTTCGATTAGATTTGCTCCAGAAGAGGTCTAAAACGACAGAACACATTCGAGCAAAAAGTACAAAATGGAAGGCAATGAATGATAATAACAACAGATTTACATACGTCCGCGTGTTTGTGTTTCACCGTCTTGGGTACAACCAGACCCACAGATAGCACTTTTCAGAAGTTACTTCTGAATTGGAACACACCACAGGGCCAAACCTGTTTACCCCTAAGATAATTTTCTCAATTATTATTTCAATTTTTGCATAGGGGCTAATAAAACTTCACCGAACAGCGGATCTAGATCGGCGTGTGTTCGACGTCACCAAACACACTCCCCCGACGAATGCCATTTTACAAACGAACTCGGACAAAACTCTCGAGTGAATACCTTGAAAGTACTCGTCTGTTTTCGAGTGAGACAAAGTGCTGGCTGTCCACTCAACAAAGAGCAATTGTGGATACAAGCGAGGCTTTCATGAAAAGACGTTGACCAATACGGCACCAGACGCTAAATGGATTTAAAACAGAAACTTCATGCCCTAACCGTGAAGAATCTTCAGAACGTCTTCACTTAGAACAACATCAGAAGCTCCAAGACACGCAACTTGTATATCGTGTTAAGCATCGAAGACATATTCCCCATCATACAGCTTTTGTATCGTAATTATTCTAACAACTCGAGCGTCCTAACTAACAGGATCACTCAGAGCTAGAGGAGTTTGTATTCAACAGAACAGATAACCAGAAGCCTAGAAATCGACGCCATTGCCTTTATATACAAGGCAGGATGTGTAAAACAAAAACCACTTTTGAGTTGCTCCGATGGTCCAGTGGTTAGCATTCTAGCCTAGAATTCGAAAGGTTCTGGGTCCAATATGAACCGTCGCCTCTACCATTTATAAACAAGTCTCCTAACAAAGGGAATAGATAACTCCCAGAGATTTCATCGCGGGCGAAAACATGCTTGAAAATTCACTGTGTAATTCCACAAGTTAAACAAATTACTATCGTTTTTATTTTACGTCGACTGAAAATATATCGATAAAACTCAACTGTACGAAAACATTACGCTACAATGCAGTAAGTATTTCATTTCTTACGACGAAGTTTTGTGTAAAACAGCAGCAGCGACCGGATTAACTATACTAGCACATGTGAAATTTTAATAGGCTTTCACGTTACTCATTTAGTTCGACGATATAATTGGGTTAATAAGAGATCAAAACTATCAAATATAACCTTCAATAATTATCAATATTTATCGCTCACATCTTTTCGAACAACTGTGAAGGAATCTCTGACATCTCTTTTTTCAGATCCCATGGTTCTCATAGCCCACGCATCGAGTTAAGTTCGCTTAGAGCGAAATTGGCATCAACGGATGCGTCCAACCCTGCAAATCTGAATCACAATGCACTGCACTACTGGAAACTACTGGTGTGAAATGTGGAAAAGAAATAGGTAACCCCTTCTCCAGTTCTCCAGCTCCGACTTCCCCGCGTACAGCAGAAGATCTGCTCTGATACCCTCATCAAACCTTCATAGTTTCGGCATACGAATTATTCAAACAAATTAATCTACATTAAACTATCACAAAATCTTTACTGACGAAGTCCGTATTTAAATATGATAACTGAAGACGATACTGAGATAGAATGACTCGACTCAAAATCGTGGCTAACATGTGTTCGGGACACTAATTATCCTTACAGCCTGTTCACGGTTTTCCTCGGTATTTAGAATCAAACGCAGGGATACTTCAAAAAGGCTAGTTCAAGCCAGTTACCTTCCAAATCCTTTCCAATTCAATGAGCCACACTCTCAAACATATACAGCTGATAAAGCGTCGAAAAACAACCAAGGAACAAGGCAATATCGCGCAAATGCCTTTCCAGCCACTGAACGTTATCCACAGAATTTTCTATCTCCGTTCTCCTTTGCCGGTGACACGTTATCCCCAAACGTCGCTTAAGAGCATAATTTAACAACGCTACCATAACAGCCCGTTGCTCGAGTATGGCACAAATCCACTCAAATCCTGGTTCACCTCTTTGTATTCTTGAGACAAAATGCAGATTCGGTGTAATTCTTACGCGCTCGTTTATTTAATTAGCGGTTTACATAAGGACGCCGTCAGAATCTGAAATTACAGGCATACACGTCGAATGCCAAATTGGTTCATAAATAATAAATGGGAAAGGATATGGAAGGAAGCGATCGTGGAATTTTCTTGCAAGGGGCTGTCGAAATTTACGGAGAACATCAGTCAAGACAATCGGTTTCGGGTACGAGGTTTGAACCTGGGATCTCCCGAATATGGAGTGCTAACCTACTGAAGAAAAATAGCGAAATTCCATAATTTGTGCTTCCCATTTGTTTGTTTTTATTTTAGTGTTCTGTCTGACGACAGGTCCATATGAACAGGATCCTTCCATCCTTTTCTCGGACTGGGACCTGTTCATATACGTTCTTGGCAGATGATCCAGAAGTGGTTTGACATTGCCTTCTTCTGTGTGTGAATGGAGTAATTGTGGGGATGCCACGGAGGAAAACCCCGTGTTGCCTAGACCACGGCCTTGACCAACACAACTTTTCTCGGACTGGGACCTGTTCATATACGTTCTTGGCAGATGATCCAGAAGTGGTTTGCCATTGCCTTCTTCTGTGTGTGAATGGGATGCCACGGAGAAACCGGGGAAGAAGCCCACGGAGGAAAACTCCGTGTTGCCTAGACCACGGCCTTGCCCAACACAAGTTAAAAAATTCGGGCACCGCCGGGAATCGAACCCGAGAACCCAGGATTACAAGGCCAGCGTTCTAACCGCTAGACCACCGTGGCTTTGTACTGTGATCAAATTGAAAACAAATACGACAAGATAATCCCAATAAAAAAAAACACTGACCAACTTGGTATATACGATACATCCCTACAAAAAAAAAATGACCATACAGACTTACCAATGGTTTGATTTTTTTCAGCTCGTGTCGTATTTATAGTCCTGTGGCCAATCTGAAAACACAAACAAGTACATCAGAAATGAATAAAATGCAGCAAACGATGCAGCCAATCACCCACAAGAAACGTCAAAGCACAGTTTCTTCCCCTCCCCCCGAGATACATGCATTTCGGGCAACAAGTCATGACTAAGAGTACAAAAATCTGTCATATGAACCAAAGTAGTGACGTTTTCAGGATGCCCGGAACCATCTCGTTTATTTTGCGGTGTCCTTTTAATAAGCGATAATTCCTAACCTTGTCATTCTTTTATATTTCACTGATTAATGCACCATGTCACGTCAGATTCTCAAATTTAGGATTTTAATTAAGACAGAAAATAAGGTTGAAAATTATGCTAAAAAAAACAATGTAAGTGTAATATCTGCAATAACAACAAACCTTGGTACAAAAATTTTCTATAACGGGATCTGGGGAAAATGCTTCCTTCCATGCAAAGAAACTTGCTCAGTGAATAAATTCAATGCCAAAACACGATTTGTTTCGAGAATATAATCTGTACTGTATATCAAATCTAAAACTTCTTGACGATGGTGAAGAGTCAATTGAATAAAAATTTTCTTGGATATTATCCATCGTCTAGTTTTACGTTTTATATTTACTAGACGATGGATAATATCCAAGAAAATTTTTATTCAATTGATATCTGTACTGTATTCGCCAAATTCAAAATATCCAGCGTAAAACACAAGAAAATAACTTTACAAACGTCTGGCCACAAAGAGTGTTTCTACGTACGATGGACAATTAATTTGCTGACATGACAATACGACACACAAATGCTCCTCACAATTTCTACGTCTTTTATACACAAAACTGTATATGCAATGAAGACGTCGTCAGGAGCTATTCACGCTGACGGAATACACAGCGTCGTTTTATTTTATAGGGAACATCTAATTCAATTATTAATCCTGAGACTAAGACTCTGGGTAAAACAGGGATAACTACAAACAATTTTTAATAAAGAATGTGAGAAAAGATGCAATCCAGCGAGACGTAAGCCATTTTTCAACAGTCAGTTCATAATGTTTCGACTTCACCATTTTGTTTGTTGGTTACTTAAAATTCACAAACTCGCACATCATTTTACAGATATGAAAAAATGGAATGTACCAGAACAAATATAACTTGGGCCAATAAAGATGGTAAGATGATGGGCATTTGCCTATCCAGCAAGGACGAGGACTGTCTTGTCACGGGCAGAGTGTCCGGGGAGTGAAGCCAACCATTCACCATCTAGTGTCGAAATTAAGAATGCGTGATGCTTAATTACAATTAGGGTACAGAATCAACTTGCAAAGCAAACATTAATAGCAGTAAATATTATAAGCCAATGCCAAACGCATTTAAAATCTGCGTTACTCAAAACAGCATCTACTGACAAGTTAAATTATGCAAGAACCCAGATACTACACTACTTTCGAAACATAAAGGGTACCAAAGTATCAAATTGAGGAAGTTCAGGTGGCACGCACTCGGGAAAAGAGATGCAAACAAAATTTTGTTCGAAATATACGAATAAAACAGACCATTTGGAAGACGCAGGCGTAGATGAAAGTATAATATTGAAACGGATCTCGAGGTAACAGGCTTGTGGAATAAACTCGTGTGGCTCTAGACAGGGACAGAAGGCGGCGTCTTGTGAACACGGAAATAATCATTCCGGTTCCAGCGTAGGCGGAAAATTTCTTCAATATCTTGGCGAGTTTTAGCTTATCAAGGTCGATGTTCCATGAAGTTGGGTCATGGAGTCCCAATCAAGGAAACAGCTAAGTATTTCCGGATCACAGCATTTTTCCAGACACTTGGTGGGCGAAGTCTGGAGGCTTATGACGATGGTGCGTTGTAATCTGTAAAGGTGAATTTTTTTTTGGAACTTGTCCATCGTTTACATTTCAATAAAATTACGTTTCGGAAGCTAGATCTCCTTCCGTCTTCAAATACAAAAAATGACAGATATCCTACAGGTTGGGACTCGAGTCTGAGGCGATGGAGATGAAGTCCAAAGTTCCACGTTTACACATTTAAGGTCAGTTTTCAAACGAAGGATCTTCAGCCTACTATATTCTGCGCACAAAGGAGGAATGGGGAATGTGCATTTCAGAAGTAACATGTGAGAGAATCTGAGACACTGTACCGTCAGCATATTCCCAGTTCAGTCGCCCTGATGACGGAGGCAGTATGACCTCTGAAACGTTGGTTAACATCGACCAGACTACACGGCGCAACAACCCAGAAGACAGAAATCTTCATACTCATCGCCCTGATGA